TGTCTGTCTGTCTGTCTGTCTGTCTGTCTGTCTGTCTGTCTGTCTGTCTGTCTGTTTGTTCCACCCACAAAGACATACACACCCACTCATGCGCATACGCATACACACGGACACAAAAACAAACACACAAACGGAAACAAACAAACGCACACCACTGCATCATCCCCCCAAAAAGCCAAACCTAAAAAATCCTTAAACAAACAACAAACAACAAACAACAAACACCCAAACAAAGCAAAACAAAATAAGACCAAACCCAACATAAAGCAAACGGGAGCTTGGACTATACTGTTACACTTCTTTTGATCGTCTCCGATAAGTGTGGCATGACTTTGTGTGGGGTCTAAATGTATCCCTGAACCGTTTGTTCCACCTTCTGACTTGTCTTATTTTTAGCAGAACGTGCATGTAGTTTAAGGATCTAGCACAGATTTAGCGATATATTCGTTTGTCTTATGAAAACGCCGTTTTATTGCGTTCCTTGCACAGGTTGAAACCTTGAAAATTCCTCTGTGCCAATAATTTAAGCTCACTGCCACACTACACTTCGAAGAACAATGGTATTTTTTGCACAGATAATCTTATGAAAACACAAGAGTTTAACTGGCAAGCTTTGGTCCCTATATACAGCGTATTATAGGATCTTGACGCGCAGGTACGATACCCTTGGATAAATTCTGTACCGTAAGAGCTAGAGGGATTAAACTCACTGAAGCACGTCGAAGAGAATCAAAACATCCCGCACCTGTTGCAAAGTGGGCGACGAGCTTGTGATTTCTACGTGTCCGCATTCTGAAGGAGGCGTTTGCTCCTTTAAAACACTCTCTGCTCAGTTGCGTTAGTGTTTTCGCGTGTCAGGAGAAGAAGTTATAGCCGTGGAGATTAAAGAAGAGATGGCAGATCTTCTTCTCTTTCTCTTCATCGTTTCTGTCTGTCTGTCTGTCTTCGTGTTCTAATTTTTGGCAGCACCGAATGACAGTAAACGGTACCGCTGTGCTTCTCAATTCTGAAACAAACAAATGGAAATGACGTAAAACCTTACTGATAAGTAATATTTAAGCATAGATGATCGAGTCCATTTTTAAAGCTGTCTCAATGGTTGCACCTCCTGATGTACTGTAGATACACGAGGGTCGTCTCATAAAATAATAAGTTTCCGTGTATTGTACTGCTAAAAATATAGATATCAAAATTGTTATAATATTTAAAATAAACTTTGTTACCTATTCAACATGGTATGCTCCATAAAAGTCAACACATGTTCCGTGCAATTTATCCAGCATTCAAGAACGTAAACAAGTGGTTCTTTGTCGAAGGCCTTTATTCCTCTCCCAGCCGCCTCTTGAATCCCATCTGCGTCCTCAAATATCTGAACACGAAGCATTTTTTTCAGTTGAGGCAAGAGAACAAAAGCCACAAGGGGCTAAATCTTACGAATAGGGTGCATGCCCCTGCAAATCCCACGGATAGCTCCCGAGAAGTTCAGAGACCACTCTGGGTTTGTGGACAGGTGTGCCGTCATGAAGGAAGATGACGCCAAATTCCAGCATACCGGGTTGTTTTATTTTATTTTTCTAACGAATGGCTGACCATAATTTGTCTTTTGCTACTGATCTGTGGTAATCTCAATTGACAGTGGTGCCAACGGGAACTGACCAACACAAAGTTGTGTCTGTATTATCAAAGAATACAATGTGTATAACTTTGATTCCTCCTTGTTTTATTTTTTTTGTCATTGTCGTAGTTTTGGCTTTGGACAAGTGATTTAAAAAGTAAAGTTGTTCCCGCATCTGATCCGGACATTGGAGATTGCCTTGTTAGTGCGAGAACTTCCTGGGCCTTCGGCTCATTGTGGTAGGGTGGCCAGTTCCTTTCCAGGCCGCCTTTACTAATTCCCAACTCGAAATCAGGTACCCATTACTGCACAAGTGATGTAAACCAGCCTTTTAAGACAGGTCATAGTTCAAATCAAAATAGTATGATTACAACTTGACACAGAGACTACGAATGAGTACACATGTTCTTTTATGGCAAATTAAAGTCTAGCTTTACAGGCGGAATAAATTTGAAATTATAGAGAAGGAAACTTCATTATGAGACGCAACCCGTATTTCTTTGCCCCAACCCTAATCGGGGATCATGTCCCTCCAAAGTCTTACTGCTGTATTATTAGAACTTATTGGAATGCCTTTGCTTTTTTTTTAAGTCTAAGAGATAAAAAGTAAACTTGAGCCTAGTGGCCCTCGTAGTCTAGAGATTACGGTGTTCGTCCCTCATTCAATGGCTCCCGGGTTCGAAACCTGATAGCAACAGAAGATTTTCCTCTCTAAAACTTTAACCTTTAACTCATTTCCTGCTCTCTAACCATGTTCTGTCGTCTGCTTTCGTCTCACCTTTCTGTCCCTCCCCCCTTTTGTCCCCTCCTCTGGGCTCCTGTTGAGGCCTTTCTACCTACTGCTACTCCTTGGCTCCTTCTTACTGCTGTCTTTCAGCCACACTCTTGATCTTAGGGTAGGTAAGAACTAACACCTAGCCTTCTCGGATACGGGCGAAATATCTCGGGGGTCCCGTGTGAAAGTTGCGCAAGTTAAAGATCCCACGGTGGTCCAAAAACGATAAGAGTAGGCTCCGGCCGCCACCCGGGCAAAATTCAAAATTAGTTTCTACCAAACTAAAAATATTTAATGTGTCCTTCACGATCACAATATTATGATCTTAATAAGAAAAACACTTACAAAACAAAACTTGAGCCTTCTATTCGGAACTTACTTGACCTGCTAGGCACATTCGGGGTCTCCACACTCCGTTGCGCCACGTGTGTGTTGATGTGACGTCACGCGCGAAAGACACTTTGAACTTACTCAAAGAATGAAAGGGGGAAGGGGAGGGAGGAGGTGGCGATATTTCACTTGTTGCCTCTCTGTTCACTAAGTTTTCTCGTCAGTCACAGCGTTTGTAAATATCGCTCAATGTGTCGTGGAGCAGTGATGCTGTGCTCTGTGTCCGTTTACCCGTATGTGTGTTATCGTAAGTCGCTGTCTACGACTCGAACGAGTCGTAAGCTTTTAACAAATATGCATACATACATACATACATACATCATACATATACGCACATACGCATTCAGAATTACCCACTCACCTTCTTACCCCACCCACGAAGCACTAATATACACTTAGTCTCAGCGACCTTCTGACCGTCCACTCCAAACTGCCGCCTTGTATGCTCATCCCACACATCATTTGATCCACTTAGCTGGAAGTTGTAAATACAAGCAGCGTACTACTGCACATACGTCACTTACTGGCTGGGATCATACAACTAAAGTAATCTCAGACTTCACGTAAGTACGTTTTTAGGTAAGTACTTTTTTCAGTGTTTAAGGCTGTTGGCCCACATCACCTAATACAACCTGTGACTTCAAAGTCAACGTACACCCTGGGGTCATTTTGCACCTCCGGGGTTGTTTGTATTCTTCACATTTTAGAATACTTCTAGTACGAAGATCTCTTTGAAACTTTCATTATTTCTCAAAAAATCATTTTGAGAGACTGCTATGCAAAGCGTACGGATCGGATTAACGAGTACATTTCCTCTTTGGAAAGTGGTGGCACAGAGTTCTCCACGTCATATGGATACGATAGTAAAACGCGACGTACGGATAGGGTTCCTAAATGATCTACATTGTATTGACGGGGGCGTATAACACCAACATTTAAAAATAAATCAATGCTGGTGTAGACTGTTATATTTTCAAAAAATCTAGGTTCACAGAAAAGACAAAATATAATTCAATTAGTACCAAGTAACCCGTAAGGTAATGGCGCAGCGATTCTTTTGACATTTTATTTTATTCACCTAACTTTCTGATGTGAAGCACGAGCGTTTTCTCTAGGACAGTCAATTGGATGACGTCAGTTAGGAGGAAAGCATTTGTAGGAAGATGGTGGAGAATGGTAAAGCTGACTATCCGACTAAACGCTAGACTGGGATTTCAACGAAGGTGTACAAATGGCTTTTCATCAGGGGACGGGGCTGTAGGAAAATTTACGTCTATCTCGAATTCGACCTATGAATCTCCTCCGATAGTCCACTTTTAGCTAAGCATCATACACGTAAATGAGATATAATTGTTGATGGGAAATAATCTGTGGGACATGTTGTGAGATGCTACCTCCGCGCCGAAAGACGGAGACACTCGACGTGTGCATCTCAGACTCATGTCGCTTGCGCTCAGGGCGACAAACCGGTGTCGCATAACAAAGAAGCTAATCACAGAAGGTAAACCTGTTTTGATGTGAATCGCTTGCAGCATCTTCTTCTGTTCTGTGTAACCTCAAAGCGTTCATCGTGCCTACTTAGCGCTGCCTTTCTCAAGTAATCCTTTTTATCATCCCCAGGTTTAACGCGCAGACGTGTCTAGATATACAGACGATCAACGTGGTACACATTGCACTTTCTGACCTTACGGATATAAACAACATTCACGGATCTACAAGGATTTGTGTGGCTGAAACTTCAGGCAAAAGTGGTTGTTCGTAGTTGTGTGGATTTCATTAATGAGAATTTAGCTCGTTTTACGCGCATTTTGTATTGCTTTCATCTGGAACAACTGACGTATCATTTCGTGTGTGACTCTCATTGGATAATGTGTCATTGATGACATCATTTTGTCTCTTAGCGTGCCAAAGATAATTTTAGAGGACGTTTATACGGATCGTTTTACTTCAGAATGAGAGACCTATACCTTTCTGAACAGGCTTCGGTCGGATATCCTGCAAAACGCCCTCTTCAAAAAACACAAATGTCATCAAAGTCTGTCTCCACAAACATGCATCGTCGTAGCCTTCGTGGTGTGTGCACGATGCATCTATTGCTCCTGGTCTTCTTCGCCTCCTTGTGCAGTAGTACTGTCGCCAGCAAGTACAACAATTTTAATCAGTGCGCGACTTGCGACGAGTCTCGATGCCCGGAGCTGCATTACTGCGAGGGTCAGCCCATCAAAGACCACTGTGGTTGTTGTACCATCTGCTCATCGTCGAGGTTCCAACCGCACGTCGTTGTCGTGAAGCCGGCCGGAGGTGAGTACGAGCTAACGACTAAAAAAGAAGAAGAAAAAAAGAAAATGTTACAAGTATTTTTGTTGCCCCCATCGACAAAATGTCGATCATTTAGAAGGCTGACTTCGATCTTGCCTTTTAAGGGCAATCTTAGGGGGCAACCCGGGCTGAGATCAATGGGACGTTCTAATAGATAGACCGAAATGCTTGATAAAAATTCTCCCCACACAGGAATTGAGCTCAGGTCTTCTGCATGCGAACGCAGAGTCCCTCCCAACTGCTACTCAGCAGGCATTGGTGAGAACGAACTAAAATAGCATGAATGTAGGTGAAGATGTCAATAATATACTGTACTATTCGTTGGACTGTCCATCTGCCTGCCCGTAAAACTGTCTGTCGGTTTGTCTGTCTGCCTTTCAATTCATCTGTCAACATACGTATAATATCGTAATGCATGAGAGAGAGAGAGAGAGAGAGAGAGAGAGAGAGAGAGAGAGAGAGAGAGAGAGAGAGC